GACCCCCTACCCCCGAGTGCACAAATTTTTGTGCATCGGGCCTCTAGTCTATACTAATAAAAGAGAAAGATGCAAATTGACCACACCTCTGTGGTGCCCACAAGCCACGCCCACCAGCCAACAGGAGTGAGTATGCAAATTAACCCAACAAAGATGGCAGGTTAATTTGCATACACAGGCGCCCAGCGGCCTAGGTCCTGGGAACATCCTAGGGACCCAGGCAGCTCAGAGCCTGCAGGCCCCAGTGTAGGCCCTGAGCAGCCTTGGTCCCAGAACACCCCTGGCCACTCTTGGCCTACGGGACTTGGCGCCATGGGGGAGGGCAGCAGAGGCTTGAACAGGGCCAGAGAGGAGCGGGGGGCCCTGCCCAAGCCATAGCTGAGGCTTGATTGGAGCCGGGGCCATGCCCAAGCTGCGGCAGAGGCTTGATAGAAGCCAGGGGGGCCCTGCCCAAGCCACAGCGGAGGCTTGATCAGAGCCGGGGGGGGTTCTCTGCCCAAGCCGGGCTTCATCAGAGCCGGGGGGCCCTGCCCAAACTGTGGCAGAGGCTTGATCAGAGCCAGGGGGGGGGCCCTGCCCAAGCCGTGGAGAAGGGACCCAGGCAGCTCAGAGCCTGCAGGCCTCAGAGTAGGTCCTGGGTGGTCTCCATCCCAGAACACCCCTGGCCACTCCTTGCCTACTGGCCTTGGTGCCCTGCGGGGGGGTGCAGCAGAGGCTTGAGCAGGGCCAGAGAGGAGCGGTGGGCCCTGCCCAAGCCGCATTGGAGGCTTGAGCAGGCCCGGAGACAGGGGGTGTGCCAGCCTAGGCTTGCCAGCAGTCCTGCCTCTGCAGGTGAGCTGCAGAGGAAACACCTTTTCTGACAGCTCATTGGCTAAGCTCCCTGTATGCCACTGGAATCTTCTTGGTAACTTGGGTAATAAGACCCAAGAAGGTGATCTAGGGTTTTTCCACCTCACTCCTGGAGGAAAAAATGAAGGTCCACTGCTGGAGAGCTAAGAAATGTCATATCCTGCCCTAGCCGGTTTGGCTCAGTGGATAGAGCCTCAGCCTACCAACTGCAAGGTCTGGGTTGGTTCTGATCAAGGGCATGTGCCTAGGTTGCAGGCTCCTCCCTGGCCAGGGCCAAGGTCAGGTCTCATGCAGGAGGCAACCAATCAAAGTGTCCCTCTCACATTGATGTTTCTCTCTGTCTTTTCCTCTCTCTTCCACATTCTCTAAAAATCAATGGAAAAGTATCCTCAGGTGAGGATAAAAAAAAAAAGAAAGAAATGTCATATCCTATAAAAGACACATCTTGAAAATGCCTATAGAAAGTTGTCATTTTTTCATGATGAAGGGACTGGAGTTCGTGTTGATGAAAACACCTTGGCGACTGTGGTGGCTGGCAGTGGCTGCAGCAGCTGGGTGATGGGGCTGGTGCCTTCCCCTGATCAGCCTGGTTGCCTCCCACAGAGGGAGGCCAGACTGCGGCTTAAGCCCACTCCTAGTGGGCCTAAGCCATCAGTAGGACATCCCCTGAGGGCTCCCAGTCTGTGAGAGGGGGCAGGCTGGGCTGAGGGTACACACCCCCCCCTAGTGCAGGAATTTCGTGCACTGGGCCCCTAGTTCAATAAATAATTATAAATAATTACTTTGAACACTGAAGTATACAAATAGGAATCAGGTCTGGTTCCTGCTTTCAAGGAACTTAGTCTACCAGTGGATTTGAAACATATGCAGAGATAATATACACGATATGTGAAAAATAGAATAATTGGGTTAGGTGTCACAAAAAGGATTAAACAGTGTTGTGAGAGTTCAGAGAGAGATGAGACAGCTAATTCCTTTGAATTAAAGCAAGGAATGCTTCCTGGAAGAAAAATACATTGAATTGGGCTGTAAGGAGTAGGAAGCATTGTGAAGGGTGGAAATGAAGAGAATACCAACTGAGATAGGATTGTAACTCCAAGATGCTGACAAGCTCAGCTGAAGCATGAAGAAGTTGGGGCACTTGGGCTGGAAAGGCCTCATTGTGGCCAGTCTCAAATGCCAGGTCAACGAGCTTGGGTTTTGTTTGCTCAGAGAGTAAGATCCCTTGGAAATGATTAAGCATTAAAGGGTCTCTGTCCATGGAAGTTTTGTCATTTGCTATTTGGACTACATGGTGAAAAGGCTATAAAAGGGAGCCCAAGAGAAAGTGGCTGCTGAGACATCTGGTCCAGTTAGCTAAGGTAGGTTCATAGAGAAATACTAATTTCAAGGCATGTTAATAGGTGTTACTCAAGAAAGGGTCTCCTCACCAAAATTAATTGGAGAAATAAAAAGTTAAACAGTTAAATGGATGTATTTCCTAGAGGGCTTTTCAGAGCCTTTAATATTGAGAATCTCAAATAGGGCAAAATGTACACAATTTCTAACATGATTTCATCTTTTTTATGGACTGTCTCAAGAAACTACTGTTCTTTGGACCACATTTTAGGGACTGTTGCCCTATGCACTTAATAATGATGGCCAGAACCTGAGTGGTGGTCATATGCATGAAAAACAGTGATTAGATGAGGGATTTAGGGCGGCGGCATCTGCCGTCCTGATAACATAGTAGGCACTCAGTAACTGTACAGAAAATTAATGCATGCCAGAGTGAATTATTGATTTCTTCACCCTGGGTCCAAGATTGCATGGTGAAACAGAAGAGGGAATGGTGTCCAAGATGGCAGTATGGAGAGTTTTGAGCTTTGGTTATGCTGGAAATAGTAGCGTCATGGAAAGAGGAATTGCTTTAAATGAAAGTTGATCACTTAGTGTTTCTTGAGAAGCTCTGGGAGATCCAGCCGGAGGGTTACAGCAGATGCTGGAACTGTGGGACTGTTGGAACTGTTGACTTGGAGAGAAGTCATTGTTTTTTCTCACTGAAACATTTTTTAAAATGTTGGTTAAGATGGATGCTTGTTTGAATTATGGATAAATAGCAATTTTCATATATAACTTAGTCTAAGAAGATAACCATCAGTGTAGTCTAAAAGAAACTTCAGGATTAACAGAGCATCCAACCTGAGGTGACAGTAGCAGGCATTCTCATCTTCATCAGTGAATTTTTTTTGCAGGCTGATTTATTCATAGAAGTTAATTAATGTTTAAGTTTAACATTTTGTTCTTTTATTCAGGTATTTGCCTTTGATTATTGCTTTTGGTCCATGGATGAATCCAACACCACAAAGTATGCTGGTAAGTTGGCTCTCTTTCTGCAGTTGATGGTTGGGCCTCTGGCCTCTTTTTCCATTACACCTGTTTTCTTTAATTATTCTGGAGTTCTGTTTTCCCCATAACATTCACAGTCATTCTTTCCAGTCTAGTGCATGGGCTTGGAAGTCAGTCAATAGATTTGATTTCAGGATTTGACTCAACCACTAAAAGTGGTTTTGCTGTAAAGTCATGGACAGGTGTTGTTATTGCTTTCAGCCAGTAAAGGGAATATTAGTATCTTCAGAGGTGCTCCAGGGATTAGAGATAATGGGGGAACCATCTCAAGTCATACATGGTAGCAGTTGTGATTGTCACATAAGAAGAGGTTTAATATGCCATGCCTTTTCCCTGTTGTTAACTTTCAGCCAATGCACAGCTCCGTTTAAGCCAGCGGTTCTCAACCTGTGGGTCGGATCCCTTTGGCGGTCGAACGACCCTTTCACAGAGGTCGCCTAAGACCATCCTGCATTATCAGATATTTACATTACGATTCATAACAGTAGCAACATTACAGTTATGAAGTAGCAACGAAAATAATTTTATGGTTGGGTCACAACATGAGGAACTGCATTTAAAGGGCCAGAAGGTTGAGAACCACTGGGCTTTAATCAAAGCACAGGTGCCATTGGCTTCCAGGACTCCCGTGCGCCTGAGTGTTCTGAAGCAGTCCTTGGTGATATGCACTAAACCCGTGGTCGGCAAACTGCGGCTCGCGAGCCACATGCGGCTCTTTGGTCCCTTGAGTGTGGCTCTTCCTAAGCCTTAGGAGTACCCTAATTAAGTTAATAACAATGTACCTACCTATATAGTTTAAGTTTTAAAAAATTGGCTCTCAAAAGAAATTTCAGTCGTTGTACTGTTGATATTTGGCTCTGTTGACTAATGAGTTTGCCGACCACTGCACTAAACACACCTTCCTCAGGGAAACATTGCCTCCTAGCACCACATTTTGCTAGTGGTTTTTTCATGAGGTATGTTAGCCCTATTCGTCAGACATAAGTGACTGCAGATTTTATTATTTGTGATCATAGGTGCATCTTAGCCTTTCCTAGAAGCTAATCACAATTGCTTCAGCCTAAGAGCGAAGCATTTGATTTAGTGAAGAGAGTCCGATTCCCTCCCTCCCAATTGGGTCCGCCTTTCCTGGATATATGGTCATAATGAGTGTTTTCTCCTAATTTCTACTTATAAGACTATCAGCTGAGTGACTTTTCCATTTACTTAAAAAAAAAGAAAAAGTGAGGAAAGGATTGAGAGGATGTAGGCTTTGCAGTGGTTCTCAACCTTGGCTGCACATTAGAATCATCGAATCTTTTTGGAATCTTTTTAAAATTCTGATTTCTGGGCCTCATCCTCCGGAAATTCTGTTTCTTTGTTACTAATGTTGTGGCCCCACCCCATAACAAAGAAACAGAATTTCCAGAAGATGAGGCCCAGAAATCAGAATTTTAAAAAGATTCCCAGGTGATTCTAATGTGCAGCCAAGGTTGAGAACCACTGCTTTAGAGAGTAAAAGGAAGTTGCTTGCTCATAAGGAATTTTATTGACAGCCTTTTCCTGGCCACCTAAAGCAGACTTTTTGAGAAATTATTTGATATGTATATATTTTTCAAAAGTTAACAATCTTGAACTAGGAAAATTCCTTCAGCTCTTCACATTGGGTAAATTGGTCTTTCTTTCCAAGCATCAGTTTTACAACTTCAGCTGTGTATTTTATTAATGTGAATGAATAGTCCTTAATGTTGGTTATAATTAATGTGTCTTTTTATTGGTCCTTTGGGACTTTAGATAATAATTCCATGGAGTCTGTATCCCTAAAACCTGTATAATTCTATTAACCAATGTCACCCCAATAAATTAAATTTAAAAATAAAATAACAAATTAAATAAATAAATTCTGCAGAGTCTGGAGCAGTCTGCCTTGACTGTTAGCGCTGTGTGTATTTTTGTGCTGGGTGTGTGCTTTTGGATATAAATAACCAACAAAAGTAAAACATTTCCTACTGTAACAGAAACAAATGAGGACAAATGCTATGGCTATACAAAGCCCAGTCTCATCCTGTTGCATTGATGTGATTCAGGATACAGCCAGATACATCTTTCTAAATTAGAATTCTTCTCATTCAATTCTCAAATACATTCAAGGACTGCTCATCTCTTACAGATTTAACCTGTACTTCTTGGATGGCATTTAAGGTCCTTTATTAGATAGCCCCAGTCTACACACCCCTCCCCTCCCTCTGCTCCATGACTCCCTACCACCCATTCTGTACTCCAGCCAGTGTTATTGTTTGTTCCTCTAATATAACCCAGGAAGCCAGAATAGTTCCTTAATATGCATGAATCCCCTACTGTGTATGCAGCCTAGGAAGCCTTTGAGAAATTAAAAACTAAGTTGGAAAGCAAAAGAGTGCATAACAAACAACAGTAAATATTTTTGATGTAATATTTAAACTCTAAATTTTACAAGTTTTAAGTGCTATGGAAAAACCCAGGAGAAGCAAAATCTGGCAGGAGTACAATTGCCAGGGAAGGCATCCTAGAGGAGATGGGACTGGAACTGGACATAGACACTTAGCATAGGTTTAGCCAAAGGATAGTACTAGTATAGAGGGCATCCAGGTAGGAGGAAGCAGTATGATATCAAGGACAGCACGTGGACTCAGAGGTCACACCTGGGTTTACGACTCAGGATGCCTGCTTTCGTTCTCTTCCCGTGGTCGGCAAACCTCGGCTTGTGAGCTACATGAGGCTCTTTGGCCCCTTGAGTGTGGCTCTTCCACAAAATACCGACTTCTGCACATGGGCCACGAAGTTTCAATTGCACTGTACGTGCGCACCCGCACGTGGTATTTTGTGGAAGAGCCACACTCAAGGGGCCAAAGAGCCACGTGTGGCTTGCCAGCTGCAGTTTGCCGACCACTGTAGACAATTTAAACTCTCTGAGATACAGTTTCTTTTTTGTAAAATGGGAAACATGGAAATGATAGTTCCTATCTCATATGCTATTACAAGGGTTAAATAGGTAACTTAACATGCTGATTCAAAGAGGGTGTCCATACACAGTACATCATTTGTCTTATTCATAAGTGAAGATGCAGAAGTGGGAGAGAGCGTGGTGTATAGACTCATCCGAGCAGAAGGTGCATCTTGGGGGAAACAGTGGGAGATCCATTTGTACATATTGAGTGAAGCCAAATAATAGGAAATTTTAAAAGCTAGACTAAGAAATTTAGACTGATATGGTAAAAAAAAAGGGGGGGGGACTTTTGGAGTGATGTGATTAAAATAATGCCTAAGGAAGATTGTTCTTCTCTTTTCCATATCTCCTGGGATCACATCCTCCATTATTGCCCAGAGAGGCTATTCTAGCCTTCTGCAATAATCATTCATGTCCTTGAATATAGGACAAACTATTTTTTAATATATTTTTATTGATTTTAGAGAGGAAGGGAGAGGGAAAGAAAGATAGAAATATCAACGATGAGAGAAAATCATTGATCAGCTGCCTCCTGCATGCCGAGCCCGCAACCCTGGCATGTGCCCTTGACCGGAATCGAATCCAGGACCTTTCAGTCCTCAGACTTATGTTCTACCCACTGAGCCAAACTGGCTAGGGCAGGACAAACTATTTTTTAAATTAAAAATAACTTTATTAAGTACAGATAATAAAATTCAAGTATGAAACTTATGATTTCTGTACCTCTTCATCATAAATAATATGTTCAGAAATATTTTTAAAGATAAAACTGATTTTTAAATATACTGATAGCCTAAAATTTACTAAATTTTAGTGTGTATGATCACTTCAAATACTATGTTCCATTTAGCCCTGAAATAGGATTCTCTAGGCTGATAGAGCAATGTCTACCTACAAAATTGTGGGTGAAAATTTCTTGTTCTTTAGATACTGTGACTGCCTTAGTAGAAAGTAAAATCTTGCTTGCTATCCTCTCAGGTTTGTTTGCATTCTTTGTACTCTCCCTAGTAGATTAGTTGATGGGTAATTTGATTTCCTTTATCTTCATTAAAAAATAGCAATTCCTTCTTAATTGTGAATGGAAACATAAAGATATAAGCATTTATTCTCTGGTGGGAAATAGAGGAAATGGAGAAGGGGAAGCACATGTGTTTTAAAACCGACCTACTTGTCGGGCTCAATGAATAACGGCATCATTGATATTGAATCAGAGCTCATAAGGCAGCTCTCAAAACTTGGGGGGCAGAAAGAGCAGGGGGAGGGGGAGAAATGTAAGTGCATGGATTGAAGGAACAGAAAGAAACAGGGACTCTAAATTTCATGTGGTGTGTAAAACGTTCAGTTCTTAATTATGTTTATGTTATGCTATTCATTAAGAGCTATAGCAAGAACTTCTTTCAGGCTTTCTGATTTAGAAATACTTAGTTCTACAATGTGTGTAATGGCATTGCAGTGGGTTGGAGTGATTGAAGGCTGTGGGCTCTTAAGTCAGACTACATGGGTTCAAATTATGGCCTCACCACCTTCTATCTGTGTAAGGTCAGGTGAGTTACTAATCTCAGTTTGCTTCTGTTTCTTCATATGTTAAATAAAGATAATAATAGTTGGGACTTTAGGACTAAATGACCTGTTCATGTGAAGTTTTTAAGCCAGTACTTGGCACATAGGGAAAACTCACATAGTATTTATCATCTTTATCATTGTCACAATGTAGCCGGAGTAAGGGTAGTAGCATCTTTGGAAAGAAAATACATTGTACTGGTGTTTACAAGACCTGGTTTTGCCACAAGCTATAAACTTTGGGGATCTGTTTCCTCATCTGTGAAAGGAGGAGACATGGCCTAGACCAGTGATTTTCAGTCTTTTTCATCTCATGGCACACATAAACTACTAAAATTCTATGGCACATCAAAAAATATATGTTTTGTCAATCTGACCAAAAAATAGGTATAATTTTGATTCATTTACACCAGACGGCTATTGTTGTGTTGACTGTTGTCAT